GGGGGGGGGGGGGTGGTATTTTGCATAACCGTTGGTGACATGACGCTAGATACCACACCCCCTGTACCGATATTCAAAGCTGGACTACTCCACGACGAAGATGATCCGTATATGAAACGATATCTACGTTTTCGGTTAGCTCTCGACGAGGCGGCTTCACCTCCGCCGTTTTGCGGGGATGCCACTACTTGTGCGGTGTAGAAATCGAGCTTTGAAAATCGGTCCAGGGGGTGTGATATCTTGTGTCATATCATTGTACCGTAGTCGTGCCAACGTTGGTTGCGTTCAGACAGAGACCGGAGTTGTTCTTAGTTTTGTGCGCTTAAGCTAAGCTGAGCTGCATAATGGGCTGCTCATTGTTTTGTTCATGGCGCACGTTCTCATGATTTATGGAGGGACAATGAAGTTTCGTATATAGCCGGGACTGCCTCTTTGTGTTTGCAAAACGTGTTGCCGCCTGTCAAGAAAGCCTCACGACTGCTGTACATATTCAAATATTCATTGTGGTACCCCTCTTGGTCTTTTTTTTTTTCATGTCCAGGTTGGCGACCGCGAGTTCACGCTGGACGACTGCTGGAGCCTGGAGCTCAACACGCGCGTGGCTTGGAAACGGGTCCAGGAGGGCACGATGGACAAGCAGATGTGGAAGGGGGAAGAGGACGAGTCGGAGATGGGGTCAGAGTGGGGAGAAGAGGAATCAGACTCCGATGACTCCGAAGACGATGATGATGACGGGGAGGAGGAGGTGAGGTTGGCTTGTTTGCCTTCGGTTTGTACGGACTGACTGCCTACGCGAAGGAAGTTTTAGTTCGAAAAAATATCAGGCAGGGGGCAGGCAGACCCTAACCCTAGCCCCAACTTAACTGATGCTAACTTTATCCAGTGCATTATGATTGCTAACTTGGAAAAACCTGCGTAGAACTACTGGGTTGTACGGAAGGCTTGGGTGAGAGATGCGTTAACCTCTGAGTCGGTGCTCGAAGTCGGTGCCGTGGCACGTGGTGGGAGCCACGCGTTTGTAGAGAGGGATAGTTTTCGCCACGCATCTTCTTTGGCCACAAGGAGACCCGCTGCTGAAGCCGTGGTACGGACGCTCACATGATGAACCAGTGCAGCGTCTCTCTCACACCCGACATTCGATGTCGACTAAAAGGTCGCTCGTATTTCGCGACTCGTATTCTCACCGCTATCGACTCCTGCTGTTTGTTTCGGGTGTCGGTTTTGCCCTGTACTGTGATCAAGGAGGCCCTGAAATATTGTCTTGAGGTGCTGATCGAGCACCCGTATCACTAGCAAACATGCCAATCTATTATCACGCTCCCCCCTTTCACCCGAGTATATTTTAGCCGGATGTGTGTGGTCGTGTGTCTGTTGACGGTTGCTGACCCGTGTAGGCGGGAAGCAAGCAGAATGTTTTGTCGGCGGGGGGTGGTCGGGGACAATGAGAGAGCCGTGAGGACATGTACTACCCAGCTCACTTTGAGGCCCCCTGCAAAAAGTAGACCCGGCTGATGTAGACAGCTAGTTCCAAAGGCTGAGCCATCTCTACATTCCGGTATACCCCCCTCTCCGGCCGCTCCTTCGAGATGTTTCAACATGTTGATGAAGCGGATTGCAGGCAATCTCTGTTAGAGGCAATCTCTGTCTTGCCCACTGCTCTTGCCCCTGTACTGCTGTAACCCGATGAAATCAGTCCTGGATACTTCACTATCCAGCTTGGAGTCAGCGTACTAATCGCTTCGGCTTGACTTTTGACGTTTCATGATCATTTATTACGTTTGGTTGGTGGGTGCAAGTTTGATTGGTTGTGGGCGTGAGCGACGATCACAAATAGACCCTCCTTCCATAGTTCCCGGTTACCGTATCCCCGTGGGACAATATGGTGCTTCGAAAATACCAAGTATTTTAAACCAACCCAACTCGGACCCACACGAGACCAAGCCTCGCACTTGAACGACACCTTTTTTTCTTTTCGCCAGGCGTGACTGTGGTTGCCTTGCGTTTGTTGTTGTTGTTGGCGATTTTGTCATGATCCGGTTTCGAAGGGGCACCGCCACAACTCAAGCGTTTCCCAGCCCGGCTGCCCGTCAGTCTGTCTGACAGTGACCATTTTATGCATATGGTTTCGATTATACCTGTCTTCTTGCTGACGATCTGATGGTTTCAAATCTTGTTGCTGATGGTTTGATAACATTGTCTACATTAAATCTATCTGTGTTGCTAATGATCTAATTTCTTGAATTATATCTAGCTGTGGTGCTGATTTGTGGATGGTTTCGATAATATCATTTTTGATGCTGATGTTGTTTCGTGTTATTTGGCACTGCTGTGGTACGCTACAGGACCGCGTCAAACCGGTGTCGGCCGGCATGAGCTGCATGACCCTGGATGGGGGCGACGCGGTTGAAAACGACGGTGCCGCAAAGAAGACTGCCAAGACCGAAAAAGGTGATGTGATCAAGACAAGCGACCTTAAGTTTGTACCTTCTTGTCATTGTTGTTGCTGTACGTTTAGTTTTTTTGTCATGCCGCCGGGTACACGCACGTACACGAGTCACGCGCATGGCCTTCTTCTCCTTGCTACATTTTCTGGGTGCTGGCAAGGATTCCTCTTGCAAACCAGCTTGCGAACTCTGCTAAGCCATATTTTGCTACCCCGAGACCCACCCACTCTTCGATGATTCCTCGCTCTGCCGCGGAAGAAATTCGAACATGAACGCAAGCGGTGTTCTCCCTGTTGATTGGCTGTCGAAAATCGGCTCTTGCCCGACTGCTGACTGGGCTTGATGCCTCTCTTGGCTTTAGCTCTCGTCTGTGCCATGACTTGGAGGCGGCGCATTCCAGTAGTTAGAGTAGTGAGTGTGGTATTTTTCAGGGTTTCGCGATTGTGTACCCATCGTTCACGTTCAATGCGCAAGGGCAGTTTCGCAAACAAAAAGACATGCCTCTTTCAGACACCGTTGCCCTTTTGACGTTTCGTGTTCCGCGGCGCAGCCGTCCATCCATTTCCTCCTTTGTTTCGTTGGGCCGCTTTATCGCCGTGTCTTTTCCTTTGCCTGGTCGACGATTTCGATCGCAAATCGACCATGACGTCGATATTTTATCGACGATATCGATCGCAACCCGACCATGACGTCGACATTTCATCGACGAAATCGATCGCCACTCGACCGTGACGTCGATCTTCATCGCGGCCTTGATGATGACACCGCAGCCAAGAAGAGCAAGGGAGGCAAGAGGGGTAAGCACGGGGGTGTGCGAGAGGAGATCAGACACCTGCAGGAGCTGCTTGACGTTGATGACCCCAACAGGACCCCCCAGGTGAACGACCATCACTATAAATCAACATGCCCACCAACCTGGGAGGGGGTTTAGAAGTCAGGCTTAAAAAGATGTCTACTTAAGAACTTGGCCCTTAAGAACAGGTGTTAAGGTAAGACTTCTACGCTAGAACCTATGTATTCGGTGTTGAGTTACGCCCCAAGAAAATGAAAACGAGCCTCGTTCCTCATAAAGCGTTTTATAGGTGGTGCCGCGTGAGTCACATCAAGAGTCTCTCTAAGTGGTACCGCGTAAGCTTTTTTTTTTTGCTGGTGGTGGTCACTTGGTTGTTTCGCCCTGCTCTCGTGCGTACATGTACTAATACCACGAAGAACTTGGTAAGCTGAGTTCTCGTCCGCTCTTCTCAGGTAGGGGCACGATCCGGGGGTTTCAACAGAAGAAAGGGCTTCCTCCCCCTCTCCCCTCTCATCGCGTGGTTCAGAAGTAGCCCCTGTTTCCCCTCAGTGCAACGTCTTTTTTTGTTGTGTGTTGATCGTACAGGTAGGTTTAAAAGTCACAGGAGTAGTCGATGTAATGACCCTGATGAATTGAACAACTTCGAAGAGGGCAAATGAAAAAAAATGTGTTGGGGCGGGGATGCCTGGATGGTGTGTACCCACGGGAACGTCCTGTGGTGTCTCTTGGAAGTACAAATCCGATCGTCCAGCGAAGACAGGAAGTTCTATGCACGATGCTCTCTGAAACAAGATTCTTGTCACAAGTACTGCTGTGGTTATGTTTCTTTTTCTCACTCGTGGCGGTGTTTATGTGAGAAGTTTACCGCAGCCAAGCAACTGACTGTTCTGCTCTCGGTCGGTATAATTGTTCGTGCTTTTTTCGTTGAATCGTGTTGTGCCTCCCGTTTTTGTTTGCGTGGAATCGACAGGCCGGCGAGGCGATGCGCGATTTCTTCGATCGCACGAAGTTGTTCTGGACAACCGAGATCGTGCGAAGAAGAGACGAGTCCGAGGTGCCCTTGGAACCCATGACTGAGAAGGTAAACTAATTGTGATGTGACATATCCTCCAATAATCCTCCCAAACCCCCAAAAATAATCAATTACAGAACCGCCTTATACAGCGTTCTTTTTCCTCGCCATGGATATTTTTGTAGGGGTTTAATCCTGCTTGTTTGTGGTTTTCAGTTGTGATGACTTGTTTTTTTGTAGTTGATGTGATGATTCCTTTCTGGTGGTTGGATTTGTGTATGCATACTTGTTCGATAGTGGTGTGGTGTAGTGTGGAAATTATCGAAGTTTGTCATACACACACACGTAGTTTGTCTTTATGTATCAACCCTGTTTTGTATTGGCACGCTTTCCTCCGAGACTACCGTGTTAGTCGGAGAGTTGGCAAGGATCGGAGAGTTAGAATTGATCGGAGAGTTAGCACGCGTATGCAGTACTTCAAAAACGATCGCACTGCCGACAATCCGATTATTTAACCGACTGCCGAAACAGATCTTGTCAGATAGGCGGGTGGTTCTCTATCCCGTCATATGTTTCCATGTTTCCATCGGTACCAAAGAAGCGGTGCCCTGCGTAGCAGCAAGTAGTTCCAGCCATGCGACTCTTTGTTGATTAATTTTTCGGGTCGATGCATTCGTTCCACAGGCGCTCAGACGAGACGCCTTCGCGCTCGCGGGGGAAAGGTACGCCGAGCTCGAGCCCTCGCTGGCACGCCTGAACGCTCTCGAGGCGGAGCAGCGGGAGTTGGAGGCACGGGAGGCGGATAAGAGGAGGGAAAAGAAGGTCTCACGTCCTCGTTCGAGTCGAGGATGATGCCTGCACGTTGGGGCCAAATCACGGAATGTTGTGTCGTGACGAGGCCACATGAGTGTCTTCATTGATCGTGATGTGGCAGGAGAATGGTCGGTCCGTAGTAGACCGATCCGTTCCTGTATGCAGCGAAGAACTGGATGAATGAAGGAGTAACAGCCAAGGAATTGGCGCGGGGGATCATTTTGCGTGTGTGTGTGTGGGGGGCGTAACCAGCGTGTGTTGCAGCTGTCTAGCCGAATCGAAAATTCGTTTGTAGGTTGAGCTTCGTCTCTGTCCTGCCTTCCGGTCTTGTCTGACTTGAGCAATGAACGCCAAAAGCGTCCTCCAAGCGTCCTTTCTGCTTGCCACCGAATCATCACAGAGGAGCCAGCCCGGAGATCACTGTGCACCTGCCAAGTGGTATGCGTTGTAGCGCTTGAGCTTGTTTGCGTGAAGAAAATATTTTTGTGGTCATGGATGTGGTAACACTCCCCCCCATCCTTGACGGTGGCAACAACATTCCGTGTGACATGAATGCCACCCGAAGTTCATGCTCCCGCCTCAGGCTACAGCCGCCATTGATGGTGCCTGCGTATATATCTATTCTGAACATACGCTTCAGTTTCTGTCAGCAAAATGCTCAGATCTCTTTTCGTTTCTGACCCCAGGTTCTATGCCCCAGAAGTTTGACCCCAGTTAGGCGGCATGTCCATTTTTTCACTTGGTTTTAGAGTTGTCGATCTCCGGTTTCTTCTCTAAATGCACGACACGCAACCACTTCCCATGCTCACTTTGCCGCACTCCATTGAGGTCAATGCGTGCAGAAGGGTCCGGAAACTTACGCAGCTACGTGACTCCCAGTGACTCCAGTGTAGTACGTTGTAGGAATGCGCAGTAGGTTACGGACAGCTAACTGCACTGTTGAAAACCAGTGCAACCAGGGAGGGGCGCTGCTTTTTCTCGGTCATGCGCTGGGGCCGCCTGTCGCCTGTCGCACGCATCTTACCGTGCCGATTACAAATTCCAGACAGCAGACCACTGGGCACCATTATTGCGTGAATAACTCAAAAGTACACAGATATCCGATCAGAGGCTTTCACTGTTTGACCTCCGACACGTGAAAGCGACGCGCTGCAAAGCTCGTTTGTTAGTAAACCATAATCGACTTCGTAAGTCGCGAGGGAAGGGATTGCTGTACCCTTCTCGCGATAAAAATACCTCAGGCATGAACCGCAGGAGGGGGTCCAACCCCCCCCTCCCATGTGACCCCGGTTGGGTCGTCTAGCTAGTAGAAGTGGAGGATAGGGGCCAGAGGGGCAGACGACAGAGAGGGTCCAATGATGGGAGAAAAAAAAAAAACAACAACAACAACGTGCAACAGCAGCGAGTGCAGGTATCTTAACACATCGCTGCCGCACACACGCGCACAACACATAATAAATACAACGTTTTTGGCGGCTTACACTGCCACGCTTGAGTGAAGCGAGTCACAAGACGAATTGTAGTAAGTGACGGTATGTCCATTGCACCAGAAAGAGAGAGAGAGAGAGAGAGAGGGAGAGAGGGAGAGAGATACCACACGGCCCACCGCGGCTGCGATAGAGTGTCTTCAGAAAGAGTCATTGCGAAGTACGGAGTGCGGAGTGCAGAGAAGAAGTGTCGGCAGCACGAAATACATGTACTGTACGTCTCACGTCGAGAGCACTGAAAAGCGAGCATGGCGTCCACGAACTCGCCCGTGTGCGATGCTTACCGTCGTATTTGCTCTTGTTTGTTGGTGGTGGTGGGCAAGTGAGCGTCGGCGTTGGGCTTGCTTGGGAAAATACTACATTTGACATAGTCTATACATACATACATGCAAAACGGGAGCTGATGACACAAGCTCGGACAAACATTGTGTACTCTGCGTGTGATGGGTGTGAACGGCGCATAGTTTGCGAGGTGTAATAATGTGTGTCTAGACGCAGCACGCGGGAGAGCCAGACCTTGCTTGATTGTGCAGGACAGGAGGAGAAGAACCTGCTTAGAGATGTTGGAAGGACCCACACTGAGAACGCAAACAGGCAGCCACGCATGCATGTATTGGAACGTGGCATGTATGGAAAACACTATTTGTGCAGAAGCGCAGTCCATCTTCGACAACACACAAAGGAGTTTGCTCGTACCTGTGGGGATTTTTCGAAGTCCTGGGTCAGCCAAGAGCAGCAGCAAGGAGCAAACGCAGTGCAGTATACTCTACAGCTTTACAGTCCGTCCTCCTCAAGTCCTATCGGAGATGATTAGTATCGCACAACGAACAACGGCTGGATCCGNTCCTCAAGTCCTATCGGAGATGATTAGTATCGCACAACGGCTGGATCCGAAATGCCGGCTAGCTCCGCAATCCAAGAGAGGTGGGTGGCTGAGCTAAAACCGGAATGACTGCATGCGTGCTCCTCTCAGCGACGTCGCTGGCTGGCTTTTTGAAGTGCGGATTTCTGGTTCAGCGGAATTTGATTCCCAATTTTTCGTTGTCACCTGGGTGTGTGGGAATTTTTGAGAAAGGTGTACAGAAATTGATTATCCTAATTGCAAGGGACACGTTTTTTTTTCAGTGTTCCCCCTTGCGGTTTCGACGGTTAAATATGCTGTTACCCACAGATTTTCGCATCGCTATAAGCTATCAGGCTCCTACAAAAGTATGCGTGTACAATTTTGGCAGCGCTAGAAGCAATTTGAACATGGTGTTTATGTCATTATTTATATACAGGCGTTCTTATTTTGCACATAGACATGTAACGATATTTGAATATAACACAACAACACTAGGAATTGCTCAAAAAAGAAACGAGACACTACCCAATAAAGTAAAAGATAATCGCACGCCGGCTAATCGACCAAAATTTCATTCGTATCTACTCGATTCCAAATACATACCCAACTCCACTTTCTTCCAGTATGAATTCCGCATCATAGGTGCATTTACACCCACGATGTTTGCAGTCACTGGCGAGGTACGAAAAAAAGTAAACATGAAATTGTGTAAAGTATTACGTATTAGTCGACTAGAATAGAAACGTGCAAGCATGTCAGCTATCAATCTGGCTGTGGCAGCTTGGAAAAATCGAATGTCAGTACATCTAATAGCAAATCGGCACATTTGACAGTGTAACGTCGACATCTTACACCTAGTAGATAACACTGTTTCCCAATGTGGGAATGTCCGATATTGCTTCTTCAGCGTAGCCATATGTTGGCGCTTATTATACATACCGATACAAGTCTTACCAGGAATGTCTTGCCCTATTTGCATATCCAGAAAGTGTGCTGATTTCCCACACTTTTCTTGGGTAACGCGAACGGGGTTGTCTATCTCATCACCATTCAAATCTAACACCATCGTTGGGTACATACCACCATATTGATTACCCTCCTTATATATAATATCTTCAAATGTTGGTCCAGTCTGGTTACCATAATATCGCACCGTAAAAATGTAATCTATATATATACCGTTTTGTACCAATGCTATACTGCTCAATAAATTCAAATGGATACAACGATGTAGTCCCAGCGTGTGTAGCAGTTAAATACTCGTCCACAAGTTCCTTCAAAAAATCGAATTAATGCATAAACAAACGCAAAAATAGTCGCTAGTTCGGGAGCTGGTGCCGTTCCCATAAAGATACCAGAGGAGGCTTGTTGGTACATGCCGTTCCCAAATTGTACAAATCCTTCATCCAAAATAAAATCTATCCATTTACAGACCCGTTCCCATCCAATGTA